TCCCTCCTACCCAAAGACTATAGCCCCCCTCCTCCCCCTAGTATTGCCACTGCTCTCAGTATGGCACCCGTAAGAAACAAGAACGGCACCCCCTCCGATGACGAGGACAAGCTCATGCTTGATAGCAAAGACGACAAGCCAAAGCGCAAGAGACAAAGCCAGAGTACGTACCACTTTTGCGCGTCCTCTCTCTCTCCAAACTTTTCCACTCGCGGTTTTCTCACTCATCCGCCCCCCCTACAGGCTGCGACGCATGCCGCTCACGCAAAGTACGATGCGCAAGAGACAATCCAGATGACCAGACTACCCGCTGCAAGCACTGTATCTCGCTAGGTGTCCCCTGCACCTATGATTACCAACCCAAGAAGCGTGGACCACCCAATCTCTACCTTCGCCGACTTCAGGAAGCTGCTCAACAAGCTCAGAGGGACGCTGCTGTTGCTCACGCAACTGGCAATGGAGGTCTCATGGACACTCCTCTCTCAGCTACTCTACCACCAAACGCACACGGCCTCTCTCCCCTCTCGCCGCACGCAATGCAACACATGCCACTCCTCAGCAACCCTCCTCATCCTGCCCATCTTCGTCGCAGCCCTCCATCCATCCCAACTCTAGCGACTCCGGTCACTCCCGGCAATCCCTCTTATCTTTCCGACCCTCCTTTGAATCCAGGTGCACCGGCACCCATCCCCCCCTCGAGATATCCTATTGCCGCCGACACCTACACCCCGTCTCCTGCCGCTGGCCTCTATGGAGCCCACCATCATCCTTTCGATCGCCCGGGGACCGCAGACACTGCAATGTCGACCACCTCCAATGGGCCACCGTCGACAATTGCGCCACCCTCTTTGGAAAGCACCTTCGCCCACGGATATACGAATGGGACAGGCAGCAGTGCCAGTGCGAACGGCCAGGTCTACCAAAGCTGGACCAGCCCTCCTGGCGTCATTCAATACCCATTCAAGCCCTATCAGCCTCCCCCTCCGACCTACCTTCCTCCTCTCAATTACTACTACCGCCCGCACCGCCTCGAGGACATTGCTCCTCGTGAAATGCTCCTACAGATCGTTCAGCTCTTCTTCGACTTCGTTTACCCTCTGACCCCATGCATTCATCGACCATCGTTTATGGCCGACCTCAGCAGCCGACGAGAGGAGAGAGATCCTCTCTTCTTTGCTCTCGTCATGAGCACCATTGCTAGCACTCTTGTGCAGGTTCCCCGGAGCTATCTCCCGATCGTCGAACGCAAACAGGTTCGAAGACTCGCTCAGCTCTGCCACGAGGCGAGCCGTCATGTCACTGTAGCCGCATACGATCCTCCAACAAGCACTCACGTCGTAATTCGTTACTTGTTAGTGTCCTTTCTTTTACTCGACTCGTAGTTTTTAGGGCCATTTGGCATCCTCCACTCTCTAGCCTGAATCTTACTGACTTTGTTCGATTCAATAGCGATACTGTATACCATTTCTGCGAGGGTCATGATGCGACTTCACATGCATCCTTTGGCGAAGCGGCCCACATCGCAGTCACATTGCACATGCACGAGGAGGCGTCATACGAGGGGCTCGATCCTATTGAGACCGAGGTCCGTCGACGAGTTTTCTGGCTCCTCTTTG